CGGCCCCTGCCCCGGTGCGTCCAGAATGAGCACAAAACCGCCAATGCTGCTTCCCTTGGAAATGCTGCAGGACGTTTGAAAGGTGAGGGTCAGGAAGTGTCAGAGGAAGGAAGGGTCAGAAGCATCCGAGATGAGGTTTTCCCCCAGCAGCATCCCTCCTCGACTTGCCCGGTTTCAAGCCAGCCATAGCTGGAATTTGTAGCACCACGTGGCATGGCATCAGCCCAGGAGGGACAGGCAGAAGAAAGCCCCGGATAGCTCTCCCAGTGTTCTGCCACCCCCCATGACCATCTGCACCACCCCTCGGTCTGCCTCCATCCTGCCCTGCCATCCTGCCATGCAGACACTGTCCATCCCACCAAGACGCAGGCTGACCTGACAACATACGCAAGCAGGGAGCAGGGTGAGGCAACTAAGCCCATTTTCCTCTCTGACCGAAGCCTGCCTTCAGGCTTTAAAAGCCAAGCAATGCTCCAGTTTTCCTCACAAAGCCCCTTTGAGAAGAGCCTGGATGAATTCCAGTTTGGCTCTACATCCCAAAGCCATTTGGTGCCCTTCCCCCCCTGGCTGTCCCTCCTCACATGAACATTGCTCCAACTCATGAAACAGCACATTTTCTTCCTGGCCACATGGAGGGCCTGAGGTATCCCCAGTCCTCACATCCCTGGCAACTAAGTGGTGCTCCCAGGTAGAAGTACCACACTTGGAAATCACAGGCTCCCAGAATTTGTAGGAGATGTGGTGGTCAGCTCTACAAATAAACTACTGAAGTGACATTCAGAAAAGCTCTTCATCCAAAAGCATCTCAAAAGTACTTTATAAACTTTGCACTAATGGGCTGTGCAAACTATAATTCCCATTCTTGGTAGGGTCTGTGCAGAAGTATCTGCTCAGACAGCTGCTACAGAAGATGAAGGGTGCAGGCTGGCATGCCAGAAAAGCCCAGCTAAAGCAAAATGACACTTGGGTACCTGGTGAATGCAGCTCTGTGAGCTTGAGCAAAAGACACCAAACCAGGTTAACCCAGCTCTATCCTGGGACAAACTCAGCCAGACTCCCATGACAATAATATAGGCATATTTCCTTCATTGACAGAACTGAAAACCCAGGTATAAGTATTTGTGTGTCTACCATTGCATTTAAGCCTGCTTGTACAAAGAAATACAGTAACTCTTTGACTGAAAGATGGCCAAAACATAGAAAAGGGGGCATTTACTGCCTCGGGCAAAGCATGTTTCCAGAGTGTGATCCAGAATACCTTCCTGAGATGACCTAAATTAAAAGGTGTGAACAAGCAGCCCTCTCAGTCATTGTCATGGCTTTTTTTTGTATGTTTCCTAACATACCTTGGCTTCCCACGGCAAGGAGAGTTTGTCCGGGAGAGCCTTCCCTTACAACATCCACCTCTACGGATGTCGGCAGGCGGCACAGGACCGGGAGCACTGGGGTGCAGGATCCTTGCTCAATGTCATTCAAGCTCATCCTGTATTAACACCAGCAGTCCCTGTTCAGCTGCTCTGCTGACACCCATCGCATACAGCTGCCAAGCCAGATCTGCTGGGGAACTGGGCATTCGCCATGAATGTGCCCCAGCGTTTGACAGTGATAGTGTGAGCTGGGAAGCATCTGATGGACTCAAAAACCAAGAAAAGACCAGTCTGATTTTTTTGGATGTGTCTTACCGGTATCAGAGGAGGGGACAGCCTTGGTGAGGATGCTGTCGGTGATGGTGCCCAGCGTGCTGAAGGCAAACACCAGCGGCACTGCAATGATGCAGTAGTGCCACACGGTCCTCATCAGAGCCTAAGGGACAGGACACATTGGACCATGCATCATTAGAGAGAACAAGCAATGATTTTGGGGCAAGAAACAACCTAGAAAAACATCAGGAGTCAAACCCATGATTTACTTAGGTAAATCGTGGGAGCCACAAGTGATACATGATGGTGCGGCTTTGGCCATTGAGGGGTCTTTCATAGCCCACCATTTGTCTGCAGTGAATTATTCCAAGCATGCGGAGCAATGATACCCTACAATCTGGCAGCACGTTTCTCTGGCACTGCTGTGGGTATTTTTAGCATCTGGGAATTAGTGACGTCCCTGTGCCCTTCCCCCCGTCTTCTGTCTCTTGTCCAACTCCTGAGGAAATGTTGAACAGCAGATGCATGTGGTGTACTTCAGGAAGCCTCCATTACTTATACAAAACAGCCTAGAGAAGGCATTTCAGTTCATTATCATAAATAATTAAAACTAAACTGAGCTTGTTAAAATAAATGAGCACTGTGCATTATGTAACATCGTACCTTTGGGATTTCTAATCCTGTTCTGCTGCTTCCTTGCTAATAAATTCACCAAATTCACTAATCTGGAATAGGTCTCCTGGCCATAAATGCACATTAGCGAGCATAATTAGGAAGAGTAATGATTTTGTTATTGCACACATTCTTAGTGGAGACATCCCTCCAGCTGTCTAATGCTGAAACAAAAGTGGTGAGGCTCCCTTAAGCCGTGGGGCTAGAGCAGCTCTCAGCTCGTTCACAAGCCCTGCTGGTCAAATGAATGGATTTCTCTGGGGCATGGAAAGGAAATTCCCCCTTTCTTGCAAGTCTTCTGCCCTCACCTGTGTCTCAAGGTGTGTTATTACAGCTGCAAGACATTTTTGTCACTGGTTTAGCCAGAAGTTTCATTCTCTGGAGTTCTCTCTCCTAAGATCTGGTCCCTGCCTCTTGGCTATAGAAGATGGAGAAGCCCAGAGACATTGCTCACTAATGACTTGGAAATACTGAGGTTTATTCCTAGTTCCCCTCTAGACTCACACACAGCCAGATTTCTCTCCTTGGAGGGGCTGTTTGCCTACATTTTGGTTAAGATCTAGGCACTTCCGATTAAGAAACCAGAGAACAAAGACAGAGGAACAGGTATTTGGTACATAAACACTCAGACACAGAGAAAATAACTCCTTGCTAGGGCAAAAGTCATTGCAGGACAACACTGCAGAGCTCAGAAAAAACACAACTTTAACCCCCTCCCGCTTTGTATGAATTCCCTCATGGGCTGAAGCAAGTGAGCAGAAAAGACCAGAGCAAGGTCTGTCCTGTAAAACCAGGGGAAATGGGTCCTTGCTCCCTTGGGACTCAGAAAGGACCAAGCCAGGCAGAACCCAGTGTCACCTGCTCCTCAGCTGCTGAATAGATAGCGCTTTTTTTGTTCTGAGCAGATCTGAAGGCATTTTTCAGGTGAGGGAGGCAGGATCAGGAGTTTCAGCAGACAGGCTCAGAAAGCACATGCCTGGGAAACGCAGGCAGTGAGGCAGGACGAGGCACAGCCGTGCCTTCACACAAAGAGAACTTCCCTGTCGCAACTGCCAAGCCCTCCTACGCCCCTGCCCTCATGCTCCTGGCTTGCATCTGCAGATCAGACACTGGCTCTTCCCTCCTCGCCCTTTCCAGGTGTTGTTGCCGAGCTCCCAGCCCACCCATTCTCTTTTCCAGCTGTAGATTGCTGGGAATATCCTGCAGTCTCTTCCCACCTGGACTGCTGTCTGTCTGTCTACTGCCACTGGTGCCAGCCTCCCAAAAACCCTTTAGCCCACCTTCCAGTGATATGAAGATGTGTTTCAGAGTGTCTTTTATTAACAGCTAGGCCTTTTCCTCACTTCCGTCCTTTGAAGAGGGGATCTGCTTTGTTTGGAGGCCATGTGCAACAAGGGCACAGCAGGCGGGATGCTTCTCCACTGGCAGTTGTGTGGGACTAAAAGCTTCACACATCAATCTGCATTTGGTGCCTGCTGCTGTGACGGCACTCATCCCCACTGAGACGGAAAGCCACCCTACAAACGGATGTTTTCTCAGCAGCCGCTTGAACAGAGTGCTTCTTAATAAAGCATCCTCGGCAAAGAGAATCACAGCTGCATTTGCTTATGAATAGTTCTTGTGGGAATTCATTGCTGACCCTTGTCCCCAGGCCTGTGTTGTCAGGCTGTCCACAGCCCTCTGGGTTTAGCATAATTGCCAACTCTAAAACTATTTCCTTTCTTGGCTCCCCTCCGCGTGCAGCTGATGTCAGCCTCCTTGCACTAGGGCATTAGCCACTCCGTGTGCCACTCCACTGCTATCAAGGCTTCCTTTCCTACCTTCAGCTACCTCCAGCCTTCCCTCTCAGTGAGACCTCAAAGCCCTTCCTGGGCCATGCTCAGGAGCACCAAGCCTTGTGCAGATGTCCCATGGTAAGGTGATGTGTCAATACTAGCCAAAACTGTGTGACACCAGCCAGGAGGGACCCTTCCTGAGCATCCTAACAGCTGGGAGCATCTCTGTGAGCCCTGAAATCCCAGAGACGGGACAGCGCTCCATCTGGAGAGCCAACCCTTCATCTGCATCCATCCTGCCTTCCCAGCCTCATCTCACACATGTGGCTTAGACTCAGATTAATTAAGGTACATAGGTGTCTCATCTCATCTGTCTAGCTGGGAACCATGAAGTTCAATACCCTCCAGGACTTGGCCCTGACCTCCCTATGGCTGTGGCACAGTTGTGGGAACGGCATCCATCTTATCTCTGCCAGTGGGAGCACCAGTGCACCAGTAGCAAGGCTCGAGGCCAAATCCTGAAGGGAATGTCTAAAGGCTGATGCAGCTCAACCATCCTTTTGACCAATCTCACGGTCGGAGACCAGTGCACACCTTTCCTCCATCGCCATGGCTGGGCAGAGCTGTTGGTTCCCTGAATGTGGCTTATCTGAGCAAACACAGTTACTGGCAGAGCTGCCTACATCAACTCATTTTTCCAATTACCAGTTGAGACTGGCATCAACAATTGCCCATGCAGCCACAACCAGCGACAGGTAACATCACTTACCCCAAAACAGAGGAACAAAATTATTGCCTTGCTACCTCCTTCCCCAGATACTCTCAGCTTGGGGGAATTAGGCAAAAATAAGGCCCCAGAAGAACAACACACAACCTCCACTGTTTCACAGCAGCGTACAACCACAATGATTTAAACCCCCCATAATCTTAATTTACTTTCTGGGTAGTTCAGGAAATGCAGTTGCTGACAAGACTGAGGGCAGTACTTCTATGCAAAGCAGTGACTCAGGAGGGACTTAACGAGTTTCTGTGTGAGATTAATAATTTTTTTAATCCCTATAACTATTACTCACGTGGCTTTTTATCGTTCTTTTGAGTGGTGCTTACACTGAGCACGGATCTGTTTGCACAGAGGCCCAGGGGAGCTGGTTTTCCCCTGAGGACCATCCAGCAAAGCCAGTGGTGGCATTTCAAGGGGCAGAGCTTGCAGCCAGGTCTCATGTGCCTTGTGCCGCTGCATTACTAAAAAGCACCATGGATGATTTCACACTCAGCCTTACCATGCCAAGGCCCACGCCAGCGAAGACAAAGACACTGAGCTTGAGCAGGGTCATCTCTGTGCAGCGGCTAGTGAGTTTTCCAATGACTAGACCCTGGACAACCTGGGAAAGAAGCACACGAGCACTATTAAGCCCAACACATAACGATTCAAACAAACTCAAAAGAGAACTGCTACAGTGCTTCAAGCAAATGAAAGCCAGCAAATGGGTCATTCCCAAGGACCTGGCTGTCACAGTAAATGGCTGGCAGATAAAATCCATTATTTCAAGCATTTTACATCCTAGGAATGCATCCATCTCATCAGCTTAAAGTCCTTACTTAGGGTGCATGTCTGAGTTTGCCATCACTCCTACTCACCAGCACTGACTGAAACTTTCTGAAGACACTTGCAGACACAAATGAATTTTTCTAACTCCTGATGTTTTTGTGGAACACAGATAATACCAAGGTCTTCATTCTTGGCAAGTCTTTCCAAAGAAAAAATGTAAATTTGTACACAGAGGAGGAAAATGCCTCCTTTCCCGTACCTTCACTTGCCATTATTTTAAACTGTAAGTAAGTATACAAATTTGGTGGTTCACAATTTTTTGGCAGGAAATGAGTATGACGGAGATGCTAATACCCAGTCCCAGCAGTATGTGCAGATATAAGGGACGGGGAACTGGTTTTACAGATTTTAAATAAAAAATGGAGGAGAGGGGGAGGGAAGGAAGAGCAAAAAACTTTAAATCCCAGGAAGTACTTGGCTTTTCCAGCATGTTGCCAAGCAAAGATTCCCTCTTTTATTTCTCTGTTCAGCATCTTCCATATTTCAGGTGATGCTGTCCTTTCATAGCCAAGTGGACTTGAGAGGACAGAGATCACTGTGAAAATGAAGCCTGATTGCCTGCATTTCAGGGGAGGAACAGATAGGAATCTACCCCTGTCTTGAAAGATTTTGTTTGATTCAAGCAAAAACCCCTCTGACTTGAAAGAAGAGCTCTAGTTCAAAATGCTTGCTTTGGTGGAATGGCTTCATTTCAATGGCAGTCCATCTTGGAGAAAGCCTTGGTGCTCTGCTTGGACCTGAAATGCTGCTACAGCATGGTCAGCCTTGCTGTGCCAGTCCTAAGGGTGAAACCCAAACTCAACCGAAAGGAGTGCAAAATAAATAAGAAAATAAGTTACTAAAAAAGAAAGGAAGCGTTAATCTATGACAAGCCATACAGAAAAAGCAATTATTAAAATTAAAAAAAAAAAAGGTAAATAGAAATAGAGTAAAATAAAGGTGACATAGAGAACAATAACTACAAATTGAATATATTTCCAACAAACTACAGTTTAATGGAAAACATCAAAATTCGACCCTTCACTTTGCTTCAGAGCACAAGTGATTTTTGATACAAGGGCACACTGCACCAAGCAGACATTTTGGTTCCCAGTAAATGCTTTTCCTGCTGCTTTTTTGTCCCCATCCCCACCTTCAGGCAGGGCTTGAGAGCTCAGCTCACATGTACTTGGCCACCCTGTGACACCGGCACAGGGCCCACATGTCTCTCCAGGGTTGTGTCACATCCCAAGTGGCCCTGGGGACGCTGGTGGACCTGCCGTAGTGTGATGCTTGGACCATGCATGGGGTGACACGGGTCATCCCTGCTGAAAGCTCTGCCATGAGGACAGGAGAAGGCTGATACCAGCCCCAGCAGCTCCTACTGGGGGGTGGGTGGAGAAGCCACTGAGTAACGCTTCATTAAGCTGAGTGCTCCTAAAAAGAAGAATCATCATTACCTTTTTGCAACTTCCCAGTCCCTCCTGCTGGCTCGTCCCAGCCGGGGCTATGCTGAGTCACACGGGATGAGGGCTGAGCCCCATCACGGGGCATGGCTTGACTCAGCGGTGGCATCACCTGAACCCCAGTTTGACTGCTGAGCCACTGGAGAAAGGAAACATTTCTCAATTTGCCCAGACTTGAATGGCATATTTAATTGGGATACACTGTGCAGGCACAGCCCAGTCCCTGCCCTTCCTTGAGTCACTGGGGTATATCATCAGCAATGTCCCAGAGCAGCCCAGTCTGAGATGGCCATGGGAGCGGTGTACCCAAAACCATCTCCATCACTACATGTGAGCACCTAAGCCCTGGCAACAAGCACCACTGCAGCAAAGCTGGGCTCTGAGCTGGCAGGATCTGAAGACATGTAGACCACCAGGCTGTCCCCAGAGTAAGCAGGGCAGAGGGACAGTCCTTGTGCCAAGGCTAGATTTCAAGCACAGGCTTCCCCATCACTGCTGAGCCAACCAACTCACTGACGGGACGTTTTCCAAGGGCAAGTGTCAGCCCAAGTCACCTGCGTTCCCTTTGGGGCTGAACAGCCATCCTTGGGTTATAAAGACTGCAGCCTCCACACTGATTATCTGGGCTGCCTGACTCCCTCCCCAGCATGGCCACCGCCAATCCAGCCATGAGCTTGAGTTTGGACACTGCATCTTGATTTAGGCACTGGATGTTTCCAGTCACCAGGATGTCTAACCTCACTTCCAATCTGAATTTAGACCTGAAAACCCACTATTTCCAGCCTGCAATTTTCCTTCGGTGCACAGTGCCTGGATTTGAATGAGCAGCAACCACCTGCACAGGCACATTTGGGAGGGAGGAAGCGAAAGGTGGTTCATGTGTGTTCTCCCATCTAAGGTTTTGGATGTGCCAGGGATTTTGCCAGCGAGTAGTGGGGTCACCCCGGATGACTTGGCCACCACTGCTCCCATGGACAAGCTCTGGTTGCACTGATGATGCAGCAATGGGATTCATCCTTTCTTTAATTACTGCTGGTGCATTCTAGGCTTTTCCCTTGCGCTTAAGCTTCCCTTGAGCTCGACTGTGACGGGCCTTCCCCTCCTGCATTTCGTTTTGCCTGGATAGTGCTTGCCTTTGTAACCTGAGCTCCTTTGAAGTCGGGGTACAATGTACCTGGCTGGAATGCCTTCTGTCATCAATAAACAAAAGAGAGAGGAAATTGTTTGCAAGTGAAATAACAGGCACTGCCCGTGGCTGTGTACACATGTCACAGGAAAAACCAACTCATCTTTTTTTTCTTTCCCCCCTCCTTCTTAGAAGGCAAATAAGTCTCCCAGTAAACGCATAGGAACAGCCAAATCTCCTTGTCGTTATGCTGGATTCGCCAGCCTGGGGTTTCATTACACTAGTTCAGCTGATCATATATAAAAATACTTTCTACCTCTATCACTACATTTGATTTCTGCGAAGACAGCAGCTCCCATTTGCTCAGAAGAGCCAATTACCCATTTTATTGTTAACCTCATTATTAAATTTCAGGAATCCCCTGCAGGATGGAAAAGACTGCTGCTGTTTGAAGCAGCAGCTAGGTTTTGGAAGACTTTTGAACAGTGAAGCACTAGTCTTGCTGCATGGAGCTGCTGCTGAGCAGGACTGGCACCCACATGTAGCTAACCTCATCAGCAGAAGTCAGAGGAGTTAGGCAGGTGCTCAGATGGTCCTCCGTGCTCAGCAGACATAGGACTGTTTCTACAGATTCTTCCATCAACACTGATCAAAAGCTTGACAGAACCCAGCAACAAAATAAATTCCCTTTCACCCAACAGTCTGGAAAAGACATGAGCAGTTTGGAGAGGCAGGCGTAGATAAGCTGGTACAGCCAAGCAGAGAAGATACAGGGCCCCATCCCTAGTGCAGATAGCATGATTCACATCAGAGGCAGCCTCCTACACAGCGGACCCGTATCTCTTGCCTTTGATATTGTGCCCGTCTGGCAGTTCCCAGGGCGAGCACAGTGCCAGCTGGGCTGGGACGTGCAGGTGGGCACCAGCAGGGCAGACCACAGTGGGCAACAGAAATCACGAGGCTTTTCTGCACAGGTTGAAGGTGGTGCAAAACCTTGGGAGGGGAAAGGGAGTTGATTTACTGACACGGTGATGCCAGAAAGTGCTTGAGAAGTAGTTTAGTTCTTGCAGAGGAGCAGAAGGGCGGTGGGACTGGAAGGAGAGCTGACGGTGAGGACCAAACTGCTGAAGGTAGCACTTTGCTGAGCAGGGGGGAAGAGGACTGAATGTTTTGCAAACTCCAGCCTAATCACTTTCTTTCCCCCTCCAACCCTCCCCCTTCCACAGATTTAAATCCTTCAAAGCAAGGAAACTGGAGAACTTTCTGTTTGTTGTTGCAAGGTCCTTTCACTGAGTGGGTTTTCCCCCTAGGCATACCTGGCTGTAATTAAATCCCCGGCTCTTTAATCATCTCTTTTGCTATGCAGGGATAAAAAATAAAGCAAGAGGGACAGACTGGTGATAAGATGATACGCAATGTAAATCTCTCCTCCAGGAATCTCTCTCATCTTTTCAGGATCACTCCGTACCAACTTGTCCCTCCAGAAGCTGCACAGCTAGAGGTGGAGTTTGTATAACAATACAAATTTAAATGCAGTAAATAGAACAGATGTCTTATGATTTCTTGATCCTCAGGGTTATAAACATCTACCTCTTTGTCCCACCCAGAGTTTTTGTTTTGTGCGTTTTTCTTTGGGTTTTTTGGAGAAAAAGTTCTTAAAGGAAAGCTTTCCCCACCCCCTCCCGTGGTTTGAAATCTAAGCATCAGATATGACTTTAGATACCAACCAGGGACTCCAGGTATTTCACTTGCCTAATCCTCCAGCGGCATTTTCCAAGCCAGATACTACACCTGGAAATTCTCCATGCTATTGCGTTTGCAGCTCCAAAAAAGAAAAGCCAGAACCTTCTGCCCATTATGCAAAGTTAAATTATTTTAAATTATTATGAAATTAATTATTCTCTGGAGGGAGACTGAATGGCATCTCACACTCCCAGGCATTCACTATGAGGGCAATTTCATTCACATGGCTTCTGAGATGAGAGGACTCTGGAAGCCCAGCCCCACAGGACAGAGGGATTGTGTCCCTGACGGGCTCTCACACTTCTTGCCTGGAGACCCACCAGCAATCAGATAAAGATGCTTCAAACATGTAATGAGCAAGGGAATCTGTGCAGTGCAAGATGCCCAGCGCAGACGTACCCCTCTCACTGTCTGTCTTCATCTTGTTTCGTTATCTCCCAGCCAACTCCTCCTCCTTGACTTATGCTGCCACAGTTCCAGCTCATCAGACAGACCCATGCTAATCGGGGTGCTTCATGTATCACTGCAGAGCCCCAGATTGTTTGAATTACCCCTCACTTCTTATTTTCACTTCCCTATCAGCCCATTCTAGTCTTAGAAATATTCATTTTTCTAAGCAACAACTTTGTTTCTTCATCAAACAGCTCTTTGTCACAGTGCTATGACACCGCCTTCCTGCACACCCTTTCTGACCTCATTTGACTCTGTCCAGACCCAAAACTGAGCCCCTTTCCCACCTTCACTTCAGTCTGCTCTACACGTTTCAATATCCTCTGCTATTAGATGATCCGCTTTGCCTAACCACAAACAGTAAATTCGTGCCAGCTCCTGGGCCAGTGCTTCATCCAGAGAGCCGGGAAGCCCTTGTTCCCCATGGTACTACCAGAAGAACTTTTACAACAATGCATCACCAGGTGTATTACTTTGGGGCACTCAGGTCTCAAGACAGACTGGGAGCAGCAGCAAGGCAACCTGTGTCCCTCCATGACAAACAAGTGGCAGCCGGAAGATGTACTAGTAGGGTGAAGGGAGACCATGTGGTGCAAAGCTATCTTGGCAAAGGGAAGAGGGTATCAAGGATGCCCTGTGCCATGAGCGGTGGTCATTGGTGCTATGTGCACGGCATTGTGAGCCACTACTAGAACCAGCTGAACCACTTTACTGCTAGCAAATGCAATGAACCATTCCCATACGGGCAGAGCTGGTACTCAGTAAGGGGGGAACCAAGAGAGGTGCTCTAGGGGGTAACCAGCCAAAACCCATGAGGTTGCCAGGCTCCAAAAACCAGACCTGAATTCGCCTTCCAAACCTGAAAGGATCTTCTCAGGCTGGGCATGGGACACCCCACAAACATTGGAGTCCTGTGGGTCATAAAGAGACAAGACAGGACTAAGCATGATGAAGTGAGGCTGAGGAGCTCTGGATGGGATCCCTCAGGAAGACTGCCTGAATTATCAGGGTGGCTAACATCCTCCATCTGCAAATGTGGCAAATGCCTCGCCCCCTCTGGGGTTGGTGTTTCTGTGCTGATCACCCCATGCAAAGAGCTGTTTGAGTTTGTTTTGACGACAAAGTACTTGAGTTGCCTGTTTAAAATTAGGCAGACTGACCCAGAGCCATTCAAAATCTCCTCTCTAGGTGCTTTGCAGCTGGCTTGAATGGGAGGAGTGGTGAGAAACAGAGATGTTTACAGTGCATTGGCCACTTCTCACCACAGTAGGTTAAATGAGGCTGAGAAGCTGAAAAATTAGGCTAAGCAATTGGAGCATAATATCCTCGGGGTAGGAGAGGAAAGTGGGAAGAGACCATTGCTATTTGAGTCATCCTGGGATTGCTGATGAGACTGGGAAAGGGGGCTGCAACATCACCTCTTGTGCAAGTGGAAGACGTTAGCTTTGAGATTTCATTAAAAAAATAGAAACTACAGTAACACAACGAAATAATATTACTTAAATTAATTAAATAAAATTTACCAGGAGTTGGCAGAGCAGGCAATGCTTTTGTCAGCATATGACTTCTGGGGAAAAGCTGAGTAATGGGCTCAGCTAAGCCTTGCTTGCTGTGCTGTTCCCTGTGTATCTATCTCTGAAGCTGCTTAGTGCATGCAACGTGTTGGGAGTGAGTGAGACCCTGGGATACAGTACTGGTTGTGCTGTGCAACCGCCCAGGCACTGTGTTTGATGTCTACAGGGAGGTTTAAAGCAAACAGGACAGGGTTCGATTCTTATTTTGCCCTTCATTTCTGTGACATCAGCTCCCATCTATAAAAGTCCTTAAACATGACCCATTTTCAGGTGCAGGGAGAAATGCAAATAGGGGAGACAGGTTTCCTCTAACAGGAGGGGTCAGAGCAAGTCCAGGAGAATGAGAAAACCCTCACAATGTTTTATTGAAAGGCAAACTAAGGAATGAGAAATCAAAGCTGAGGATCTGGTTAATGAAATTCATTGAAAAGGACATTATATTCCTTATGAATAAAAGTAAAATTTACTTGGTGAAGTGGGGAAGCCAGTCAGCAGATATTAATCAACTTTCACCCATCCAGACTGATGGAATTTGCTTGCACCTTAATCTGCATTTATATCTCCAGTAGTATCAATTCACTGTACAGCAGAAACAAATGCATCTGAAATGCCAGCTTAGGCATGAAGGCACACAAGCAGTTCTGTGGCTTGGCAGGACAGAGCCAGCACACACTGCATTCTCTGCATACATCTTCCACTGGAGGAACCCCAACAGAAAGCAGCTAGCTTAGTCACTATCTTCAAGAGATATTTTTGGGTGGTTCTAGCCAGAGACCTGATCTGAAAGTAAAGACATAAATTCTAATGTTTTACAGTAATTTAAAAGCCAGATGATGAGAATATTGTTTGGACCAGTTGAGGATCTGGTCCTGCATAAACCAGAGGAGAGCTTGGAACAGCCAGTGACAAAGTGGAAAGAACAAGTGACAAAGCAGAAAGCAGTGCTCTACAAGCTCTCGGGTGAGATGGCTTTACTGCCACCAGGAATTAGCATTTTTGTCCCCATTCTTTTTTGGTGTTATGGCAGCAAACCCCAATGCACCATCATGAAGAAGAGAGGTTTGCATCCTATGACCACTTTACTCCTGTATTTCTTACGTCCAGAGTTTTGCACTGTAGAACATGCGCAGCAACATGGACAGAAACTGCACAGATAGATGAAAGAAAACTGCCTGGCTGACAAAAGCTAGTTTCTGTGTTAAATGTCCTGAGGGAAAGACTCCCCAGCAAAGCAGGTGCTGCATCCGAGCCTATAGGCTGCTGCAGGGTTAGATCATGGTAATAGGCATGATGGGCCTCTCTGGGATGAAAACTTCTGACTATGGGAAGGGTCGGGTCCCTGGTTAGCACTAAGGTCTGATTATTTGTTAGGAAGCATACTGAATGTTGTAATTCCCATTGTCTTCAGGGCTGTATCTGTATGTCAGGTGCACTGGCATGGCAGTGCAGGTAACCTTATCTACAGCAGTTTCAACCAAACTAACCTGGGAAACAACAGCAGTGAAGACAGACAGATATCCCAGACATAACAGCAGAGTCCTAAAGACAGATATCCTGGACCCAGCAGCAGTATCCAAGCTCCATCTACTACTACTCTTTCTACTATGTAAAGCCACTCCTGCCCCAGCTGTACAAGTGCTATTGCTGCCCATGTTACCTGGCTTGAAACAAGCACACCATAGCCATGCTGCAAATCTGGCTGGACTGTAGAAATATATAACAGGGATTTAACTGATATGTCGAATTTAAGAGCATAGCTGTTGGGGATCTCCGTTACATCCAAAGGGCAAAGAAGATAACAGAAGGTGATTTGGCCCCTCTAAAACCTGAGTGATTCCTGTAGATCCTGGTCTAGGAGGCAGCATGCAAAGACTAACAGGGAAAGCCTCTGTTAGCAGTGGAGTTTGGGTTAGAAGCATACTTTGGAAAGCAGCTGCTGATCACCCCAGTTGTCACACTGTGTTCCATGCTGTTGAGCAGAAAACTGGGTTTTGTTTCCAGTGAGACTGGATGAGAGAGTGTACCCAGCTGGTAGCAGGTAGTTGAACTCACAGGACCGAGAGACAGCTAGTCCAAAGCCACTCTCCCAGAACAGACATGGCAAAGGCACCAGCTTCTCAGCTCTAGCCAGTTTACTCTGCAGACTACACTTGCCATACTCATCAAGTACCCAGATCTGGTGAGACTGAGGCAACACCATGCTAAATCCAAATCACAAGGAAATAAAGCTGCCATTTCCCAGATGTGAAGCTCCTCCAGATCACACAGGAACTCTGTGGCAATGCCTAGGAAATTAAGGTGGATTTAATAACAAGACCACCCTCCTTCAGGATATTACTTAACTTGCATTCCTACCTTAAGGCTTGCTTATAGCCATCTGTTACTTTTTCTGTAAAATTATTAGCCTCTTCCTCCAAAAGGAACATTTGGCTATAACACAACATTTTCTGGTTTTGGCCCTGCTACTGACTAATCCAGCTGACTTTTCCCTTTTGCCATTTTGGTAGTCTCCATGTTCCATTGCCCACGCTTTTCTTTTCTTTTTCTTTCTTTTTTTTTTTAAAGTACAAGCTTGCTGTGCTTGTTTCCATCATCAAAAAAAAGTCCTTCCTCTACACTGAAGGAATCTGTGAAAATGCCAATAAAATCATCTACTGACATAAATTTACAGAATGTTACTAGGTAAATGTAAATAAGCTAACCTCCCCCAGGGAAAACCTTAGTCAAGGCACTTCAGCTTCAATGTAAGTTTTGTTACAAAAATCAGGACAACATGTCAGTCCAGTGAAATTTTACCTCCACAGCTTAAAGATCTGCAAAGAGAGACAAGGGCAAAAATCTTTCAGGACACTCCTTGCTCTGATTTCTTCCCATTCCCATAACAGAATAAATCTGGAGTTACGTCTATTTTTTGCAGCCAAGTACAGAATGTAGGATTTGACTGTCAATTTTACACCTGGATTTGGAAGAACATGTGTCAAAAAGGCAGTAATTTAGATACTGGTGTGACAAGAGGCGTACTTCCACTTCACTTACCATTTGAAGGACACCAAAATATGACATCAGGTATCCAGACTCCACTGCTTCCAAGCCAAAGAAATCCATAGAGATGATTGAAAACATAATCAGGAACAAACCTAGAGGGTGGGGTAATGAAAAGCATACATCAATATACTTGCACTGCATACAGTGGCCCAGACCCTGCTCCCAGTCACCCCCAGTGTGAGTCAGTAGCTCTCCATGGGATTGCCAGGGCTGGATAGAAACACAAGCAGAATCCTATTCAAAGTCATTGTAGTAATTTAATCTTTAAATGTTAACTTTCTTATCCCCCTTACTTTCATCTTTAAATAATGTTACTATGTAGGCTGTAGATTCAGCTGTTTATTATAAACTGGTAAATATTTGTATCATTGAAGCCAGGCTAACCATTAAGACAGAAAGAAAACATTTGTTCAGACAAGACTGTAACCATAAAAATAATCTGATTGGATGCCTCACTTCTTTTGCCTGTCTTTAGATTTTCACCATGGGGAACAACCCAGTAATATCAGCCTAAATACAGAGATTTCACTGCACACCTTGGCAATCATGTTGGTGAAATATCTCTCACTTGGACTGACAGCACTGTTGACACAAGCAGTCAGGAGAGCACTCACAGAAAGAGCACAGGTTGGGTCTGCTTTTTAATTAAGGCAATTTCTGGAAAGCGTAACAGAAAATGCCCACTTGCTTAATCTCTCATGAAAACACAATAGTGTGCATTTCCACCACCACCAAACATACACAGATACAGATGTGCATACACACACTCTCATCATATACAAAGAGCCATCAAGTTACAAATACTATGACAAAATACTGCTCTCAAAGAGTGGTACAGGATAGGAGGCTGCTGCCTCCCCTAGTGTCTTGTGCACCTCAGATGGACCAAGACAGTAGGAAACTGGGGCTCTCTGTATGTGAACAACCCCACAATGTGCCCATTGGAGAGCACTGATTCTGCTGGGGTGAGGAGAAGAGAGCAGATGACCTTTAGGGGTCCTGTACTTCCTTGTAGGATTCTCTGAGGTACAATGACTGGGTAAATACAGAGCTGTGGTCCTGTCCTTCCTGAAGAAAACAAGACCCCAGGAGGACTGAGAAGACAGCTTGTGGCCTGTAAAAATGAATCACTAGGCCTGCGGCATGGGAAGGATTTGCTGGCATTTCCTGGAAGTGTTTGGAGAACAATCCCAAATTGCTGACTAAAATGCTCTAGAAGAGTTGCACCCTAACAAACCAACACAACTCCACTGCATCCAGCACCCCAAAGGCGCTGCTACCAGTGGAGCACCTGCAGTAATGAGAACCTCCCTCCAAGCATCCCAAGCCTTTGCCCGGAGGGGCTACCACCCTCCCACAAAGCCTTCCTGAACCCCACTGGAGACACCTTTTCCCCCCATCAAGGGGATAGCTGCACCCCAGCTGGCTCCATGGCACTGGAAGAGAGGGATAGGGGGCAGGAAGGGCACCCTGTTCTGCCACTTTCCAGATATTTGAAGAAAGTGCTGGGGAGCTGGGGTTCATAAAGATTTATGGCTTCACCACACCCCTCCGCGGAGAGCACCTCGTTGTTATCCAGTTACTTTGAAATCACTCTCAGCTCAAGCCAGCTTAAGGTAACATGCAAATAACAGTATTTACTCACAACATCCAAACCAGGCAACAGGGTTGCACATGTTTATAAAAGGCACACGTGAAGAAATGAAAGAAAAACCACACTTCATTTCTCTTGCAGGAAGATTAGATAGAAGCGGGTGCTTACCCTTCATCCTGCTACCCTGCTGCAGGTACCACCTAGGAGAGGCTCAACCTTCCTACATACCTGATGGTTCTTCCTGGTACCACACGCCAGCTTCCCCAGCTCCTCTGCCCTTTGAAGTCCCTCATTGAGTTTTTGATCTTTCTCTTCCAAATGAGCTGATTTCTTTTGGAGCAAGGGGATAGGCTATGCTTTCTAATTAGGGTTACACATTGAATGCTCTCCTGGAGATGTAAAGGTCTCTTCCTTAGATGGGTGTCACCCCCTGTGCTCACATGGTCACTTAAAGTTGCCTGGACAAGGGAAACTCCCTTTTCCCCCCTTCTTTCAGCAACTAAGGGTGTCTCTCCCACCAGCAACAGGTTCATTTGTGAAACCCACAAGGCAAGCCCCAGACTGAACTCAAAACATTTAATGCTCATTGGAACGAGCATTTCTTACAAAGATCCCATCTGGGTATGCTGCAGGTCAGCTAAGCGCACCACATGAGTGATGTACCCACCCTGGGGTGGGCTTGCTAGGGTAGCATGTACCCAGGCTCTTCTGGGAACACCCGAAGCCCATGCAGGAGCTGCCCAGATAAGCCTTAATCCATGCTGCAAGGCTCAGGTTTTCAACTGGAAAAAAGATGGAAAATAGAAAAAATTTTTGAGGGGGTCTAAATAAGGGGTGAACTCCTTAGAAAACTTGGCACCAGTGGGATGGATAACTAGGGTTATGCATCAGAAGGCAGATAAATGGTTTGTGAGATGTGATAAAGACAAGGAAAAGCACCAAGGAGACAGAGGAGTGCAAACTGTATTTTCAAAAAAGCAGCCTGTGGCTTTGGAGGCCCAGTTTAGCAATCTGTACTGAGAGCCAGTGTGAGAAGGCAAGCACGGCCTCTTGGAGCCTGTCTCAGCCCTCCTACACTGGACTGCAAATGTGATGGGATGCAGAGCCCTGGGGCTCACTGCAAAATCCGGTTCTGCATGTGAAAAAAAGTCCTTTTAAAAATGGGATGCAGGTGCTAAAGCAATCATGTTAAAATCAGGTTTTCCAAAGGGATTAGGCAGTCAAAGATTCATATAAGCAGCTATTTATCAATATTTTCAAGGTCCTGGTGATTTCTGGCCAGCAAGAGGTATGTTAGGTATGTTTTTATCCTTGTGTTTTCTTTTCTGGCTCTTATCTACTGCATTGCAATGAAGTTCTTTTCTCCCAGGTCAGTTGAGAACATAATTTGGCCATGCTGTAGTGTCCATCCCCTGGCAGCTACCCTTCTGCAAGAGGCACAGAGCCCGTGTCTCTGCTTTTATGCAGCACAAGGAGGAGGTTCCCAGCACTGCAGGCCTCCCAGGGAGGCTCTTTCAGTCTCAAACAAGCTAATTTTAGACAACAATGAGATCCATAAGGAACAGAAGGTTTTCTTCTGTGTATATCACAAACTTGTTTACAAAGTAAATAGAGAACAGTCTGTAATTTGGGTAATCTAATTAATTATACAGTTGCAGCCTGGAGATGAAAGGTAAATGTGCTCAGGAGGACCTCAGCCTCCAGTTGTGAGGTACAGAGAAGTAGGTGATGGCCCAATCCCCTTTCAGCTGCCATTATGTATGGTCAGTCACCTAACAAGAGACCTTCAAAGAGAAGTCAATAGAATTTTAATCACTCCTCACTGTAGTGTAAGCACCATACTTGTAGCAGGAGTGCCTCAACTGAACACATTCCTACTCTTACAGAAATACTACCAGCCATTTCAGTGACAGACTATTAGTCCAAGTCCCTCCTTAAATCTCAGCTTCACTGTCTTCATCCTCTTTGCCTAGAAGTTCCATTGCAGTTTTGGGCAGGAGATGTTTATTTTGGTTGGGTACATGTTTTTGCTGTGCACAGGAAAAACCTCTTCTGCAACAGGGAGGAATTTGCATTTCAGCAGGGATGACTAAAACAAAGTGCATCTTGCCTGGCCTTTGGAAAAAGGAGATTGCACAGGAAATTACGGTGCAGATTGCATATGGATGTGGTCTCAGGCATTTTTAAACAGAGAAATGAATGCTACTTAAAGCTGAGAAATGAGCCAGAATCAGCAAAGAAAACCCTCTTAGAATATCACTTGACTGTCTCGTTCTGTGAAATGCTGCCATTTTATAAAAACTTTTTTAAATACAGATTTAAAAGTTTAGTCTCATAAGAACAAAACAGTGCACAATGAGGGCAAGCCAAAGCAGCCCATTCAGACTGGATCCTGTCTCCAGTGGTGGGGAGGACCAACTGATCTCAGCCAGTGCCAACTACACAAAAAAAAGAAAGAAAAAAAAAAAACCAAACCAAAAAACCCGAACAAAACCAGGTAACCCAAAACCCAAACCCAGAAATCCTTTAGTTCACAGATTGTTGTTCCACAGCTCTAGTCAGACTTGTTCCCCCAGAACTTTAGCAAGGAATAACAGAAAACCTGACCAAGGCCAGAAATGCTACCCCCTTCTGATTCAGTCACTCTCCACAACCAAATCTACTTTCATTTGTAAACTGAATTTCCAGTTTACAAATTAGAATTTAATTTGTAAATAATGTTTCACTTTATTTTAACTTCATGGGCTTTTCCAGATGCAGATGAATTGGAAAAAGATGCAAAGTATAGAAGCTAAGGTGTCTTAAATCCTCTCTTGGGATCCCTGCTTGGGAGGGAAGTTTGACAAGATGCATGATGTGCACGTGTTTTGATATGCACAAAATTCAGTCCTTGAAACCATAATCCAGATAAACTGCATTTAAGTTTGACTGGGAAAAAAGCCATGAAAATGTGTGGAAGGGCAGCGAACACCACCACTAACAAGGCTGACATGCTGTCTTGTCTTTAAACAAGCAGGGGGAAAGGTTGGCAATATTAAAGATTATTAAATTGTGGCCAAGGATATGTATAACGAGGCAAACTGGGAAACATGTACCATGCCAGGACAGCAACTGACTCAAAGGGAGCAGGGAAACAGGCAGGACTGAGGTGGGTTTGAAGCAGCAGCGGGTTCCCACCATGACACAAAACCCCAAGTGGAATAAATAAGGAAGAGAACAGGCGCCATCATCTACATGAAAGGGAAGAAACATGATGTGGCTCCCCTTCTTGCAGCTAACAGTTAGAACAGCCACAGCTTCTCATCCAGCAGTAGTTTTTAGTTGCTGGGAAAAAGGTTAGGATACACATACCCCTTAAAATCACCAAGTACATCAGGAAGAACCTCAGCACTTCTGGCAGAGGACAAATGATCTCCTTCTGCTCTGAAGAGGTTACAGCCTAAACAGAAATGACAGTCAAGAGGAAAAAGCATTTACAGGGGGATGGAGTGGAGAGATTAAGTGATTTGCCAAAAGTTCCAGAAGCAGCCTGTGACAAGTAGTCTGTTTTACATTAAGTCCCAGGGTTTTGACCATATGTAGCTTCAGAGCGTTTGAAAGCATCCAGCATCGAGTTAGGAACTGAATCCTCGCTGCTCCATGATCTAATGCAATGTGCTTTCAGTAACTTGAGACAAGCCTGGTCTACAGTGTATGTCACCTTATTTTAAACACATCAGCAATTACAAGAAATGAGTAAGATTTACCTATGGGAAGTCCAGCAAAGACTTTGACTATGAAAACTTCCATTACTCCTGGAAACTTCATCAGGCGTAGGATTTCTTTGATGCTAAACACACTGCCAGACTGTGATGTGCCTATAGAAGATGACATACTGATTAATAATGTATTTATATAGGTTGAAGGCAGAAAACAAGGAACTCTGAGACTGTCTGCTCAGGTTCACTACCACCTTTCTGAAAAGGCATGTCTCTGCAGCACCAGCTTTGTGCCAATGGCAGGAGGCTGGGAGCTGGTACCAGGTCTGCATGCAGAGGACTGCTGTGAGACATCAGGATTGCCTACTGTGCCAGGCCAAACTAACCCCCAGCAAGAGGTCCACATTCACCTTTCCTGAGATGCACAGCAAGCACTGGGCTGGAAGCCTGCAAATCTGCATGGCAGAGTGGTTAACAGGTAGAGAATAATACTCTTTAAAGCATTAAAGTGTCAGCATTTCAAAGTTGGCACCTTTTTGCCTTAAATGCAACCCCCAAGTCCTTTAGCAGTCCCTACAGCATGTCAATCCCCTGTCCCTCTTCACATGCTCTTTATCAGAAACTCTAAATACTTACTGTGCTCTGTCAAATGATAGTCTGGCCTAGCCTGTGAAGGGATCCAAAACATTGCTATCATGGTATTTATGAGATTTCCCACCAGCCCAACATACGTAGGAGCAAAAACGCTGCAAACAGAAAAAATACAGGTAAGTGGATAAGTATAAACAAAACATTTTAACCTCCATTCTGCAAAAGGCTTGGGCACTTGGATAAGGAACAATCCTCTTGAAATTATAGTACATAAGACTATAAAAGAGCACACATTCTGTCATGGAGGCTTTGGATATGACCACAGTTTGAAATTTCACCAAAAGATGGCTATTGGCATCAAAATCACTTATTGTTTGTATGAATAATAGGGTATAATAGAATGCTTTTAAATTTGTGTCATGGGAAAAGAGGCCTTCTTGGTTTAACGAAGCTTACAAATCTTCCCATTGAAAGCACAGCATCTGCTTGTTAGGATCCATCTAATCCCCTCATCTAATCCTCAGTTTCATTCATCTAAGTATCATCTCACTCCTTGAAATTTCTCACTGAAATCCAATGAATTTAAGGAAAGTGAAGAAAGTACTCAAGGTGATTAAGGATGGTAGAATACAGCCCAGCCTACAACCAGAACTGAAAACACCACTTGAAACGGAGCTGCTAAAAATAACAATCATGATTTACAAAACCTTCTGAGGAGGTGAGTAAGCAGCACTTTGATTGATGTACCTACTTTTCTCCAAAGATGCCCAAAATCAAATACTGCTTCGACTGTCCTTCACAGCCCCAGACACCGGATCTTTTACAGAAGTGGGGCCACATCCTTAGATGTAGACAGTGATCAGCCGTTATTAAGAGTAGTTGTATGGTGATAAAAACGAACAATTACAACTTAACTAACGAAAACCAAACACAAACCACATAAAAGGCATTAGAGTCAATAACAAGTCCTCAATTATCACTGTCCTTTTAAAAGAGAAGATTAGGAAATTACTCCTACTAGTATTTAAGACCATGTGGGAAGATTACAGACTCTGAAGGGCTTTAACTCTGTCAGATACAGGCAGAGCAAAGTCCAGGGCTGGAAGACTGAAACTCAGGAGAGTCAACCTGGAAACAAAGGGAGAAGCTTGTTTTGTTTTTACAGTGAGAACAATTATCCACTAAAGCAGCTCACTAAAAGTCTCCCCCATCATGGGAACCCTGTTAGTTGAAGGGTTTCAACTAACCCTTCAACTTGGTAGTTTTTTGCTTAAAACCTACCGCAGGACACAGGTTTGGGTTGAGAATGCCCAGAAGAAACACCAAAGGTTGGTGTCACAGAGGGCAAAAGACTAAGTGACCATCATGGTGTTTTGAGGGGCATCAAAATTTAAGCACCCTGACTTCAGCAAAGTAATGCATATGTTTCAACAGGGAGAGCTTTGGAGCCATGTGGGTCTATGCAGACTCAGAGGTGACCACGCCATCCCTGCATCCCCAGCAACCTGTGTTGTAAAAACGAGATGCAAAACAGAGCTATGAGCAGCCAACCAGTCCTCCTTGTGAGCCTGTTGATAAAGACCAGCTTACTGCCTGACCTTTTACTGCTGTTTTCCTTGTCAGACCATTGTATATGTTTTTCATGGAAAAACCTGCAGCAGTAATTGTAAAAGCCTCAAGTTTCCTCTGTGCTAGACAAAGGTATGGTCTGAATAATTTATAGAGTATTATTAAAGTTCCAGAGCAAGACAGTCAAGGATTGAGATGCAAACAACCAAGAAAAGCATCAAAGAGCAAATAAATATATATACACACTTATTCTTACTAATAGCAACAGCAAAAATCCCAGCTGAATATTTTAATTCTCATTATTATTAATAACAACAAAGCCAGATAATATCTTCCTGCAAATGGACTTAGTGCAGTAATTTAAACCTGCTGCCTGCCATCCGCCAAGCTGTTCTGCTAATTACCCTGGACCACAAAATTAGTCATTTACTGGATCGTTAGTTTTTATTTTTAGTGCAGCAGATTGCCACTTTCTGATTTAAAATTATCTGTCAAGCAGTTCCCAAACTACTGAAATTAACTTCACGGACCCAAATTTTTATCCAAGAAATCTGGAATTTCTACTTTGCATTGCAACATAGAGTAAATTTGCTAACAAAATAGAAGGGATGAAATAATCAAAATGAGTAGCTGCAGCTGGCTTAGTGGGTTTTAGGGTTTCTATATTTCAAGCTTTCATTCTGATATGGAAAAAAGACATCACAAAAATCTTCACTGGACAGAAAAACTTTCTTCACGGTCCTATTTTTTCCTGAGGTTTTCCAGAATCCCACATGCCAACATAAATACGTTTTATTCTTCAGATCCAAGAAGAATTATAGCAAACAATGAGGAAAGGGTCCCCCTACAGAATTAGCAAGCAAAAAATGCACTGCTTCACTGCAAGCATACCACTAATAATTCATTGCTGTGACGTAAGAGAAGAACCTTGACATTTTACCTATTTGGGAAAACCTGGACTTACTGTAATGGATGTGTGGTATTTTGTACAGCTGGACTCTGAAGTCAGAGAAATCCAGTAAAATATCAAGCCCAAACTGTGTTTCTCAAACAAGCCTGAAGTGTTCAAAATCATCTGAAAATCCCTTTTCTTAACCACAGCTTTCTGTAAGCGCTTCATCTTTTTCCACATATTAAACAGTCATGTTCCTAGAGGGAAAGGTGATGAAGGTGCATGCTTGGATTAGCTGCTCCACTGTCTCGTCCTTTGGCAGGGATGAACTCTGGAATTGGAGATGACACATCTGTGCCCAGGAAACTACCTCTTGCATTTCTTTGTTTCTTCATTTCAGAAAGATGAAGTGAAACCAAGGATTATAAAAATGTCTTATCAACACAGCAGGTCATGAATTTTTTTCTGATGGATCTTAATTTCTTTTTTTCTGATATTTCCATTACAACCAATGAGTTACACATGATGACACCTCCTGTGCCACCCCTCGGGTACATAATCAGTGGGACACATACTCCCACTCCTACTGTGAAGAGCAACTGTTCTACAAAGCAGCAGTGCAGGGCAGCTTTCTTGACACATCATCACTTCTGAATCCTCTGTAGGATTGCTTTGGGGCTTGGGTAGGTGAGGGACTGCATATATTGCCTTTTCCTGTTACACAAAAGGCACACTGTCATGTAAAGGGACACAAACGCTAAAACCAGTGTGCATGTGCTGGATCATTATTTCTGGCAGCAGGGAAGACATGCCAGTGGGTTGAACTAACAATATTCTTGCAACAATGCTGACAGGAGATTGGAGGAACTTGCAATAATGCTGATGAATCTTCAGCTAGAGCTGCTCCATGTCACTGCCACTGACAGGGAAAACTCTACCCACATCTTTGGATGCCGCTGGGAGGGGAGCTGCAGCCCTGCAGAGGTGGGTGGGAAGGTGGTGGTGGTGGTTTGGAGGAGTCCAGCAAGCAGCAGGAGGGCAGGGGAGGGTTTGTACCACACAGCAGCCCCAAGGAACAGTGCTTTGGCAAGGGGAACAGTGATGCTGTTGCCACCAGCAGAGAAAATAGCTGGAGGTTAGCACTGATAATCCCTCTGCTTTGCTTGCTGGACCATCTTCTACATGCTAAGCAAGTGCAGGACCTGGGTCTAAACTGTTGCTCTTATTTCTTACTGGTCTGATGAGGAACAGATGGTACAAACCAGAATAGCAAATCTAAAGGTGAGACACCCCAACCCCTCAGCGGAGCCAAAGCGTAGCGGTAGGAATGATCATTGGGTTCACAACTCCTACTGTGCAAGACCTGGCTTGTGGGCACTCTTTTTCTTTTTTTAAGATTTAAACATGAAATCTCATCTCTGCTGATACCAGTGGGAGTCCTTCTGCATTCAGCTTTACCTGTCTGGCTGATCAGGATGAAGTTTTGCCAGGAAGGGATGTAGTGTCACTACTAAGAAAAATGAGGCACATTAAGAAGGTTGCTCCCACAGGACCTTTTCCCATCCTCTTCCCCTTCCTGCCTTCCCTCTTGTCCCTCCTGGCTGTTCGCAAACCAGCCATGTGAAGCCAGAGTGAGCCATGCCAAAACCAGCAGCAGATTTCCTGAGCAGGGCAGAAGAACAAAGGATGCGGGCAGGACTAATACAATTAAATTAAAGGGAGCAAAAGGGAGCAGCAGCTTCGGCAGCTGAGATTATTATGTGGCCTCTTCCAGCTTCTTGCTGATTAAGAGGTTAAGAGCCTTTACTGTCCTGTGCTTTATGGTCAAAATAACTTGGACAACTTTATCTGCATACTTCAGCATATTACTTGTATTTCCTTTGTTCTCTTGCATCTAGAGAGAGAGTCCCTTGCTGACTTTTTCTTAGCCACCTTCCTTGCTTTCCCTTGGTGTTTTCTGCTAGCAGAAACCTCTCAGGTTGTCAGCTAAGACCACAGCTGCCTGGTCTTTGTGTGTTTTCAACCTTGCCATGAAAGGGAGGAACAAAATGCATTGCCCCGTCCTACATGGGACTGACATGCCCCTAGCTCCTGCTGCCAGGAGAGTGCAAAGCAATCAGCTGCAGGGAGCAAACACTTGAACTTGGAGGAGGACTAGTTTTTGCTAGTTTTTGCCAACAGGAGCAGCTGCAGCTTGCCCAGACCTAAAGCTTTCAGAGAAACAGAAGAAAACCATAAGCATAGGGACCTAGAGGCCAGGAGCACGTAACATCAGCCAAACACTGCTTAACGACATAACAAAAGCCTCTCCTTTTCATTTTCCTGAGGCCATTAGGCAAGTGTGGTGGATGCATCAAAAGCATCCTTTAGAAGAGTTTTAGACGGTTTCAAGAAGTGGGATGTGCAGCCCAGAGCACGCTTGCCACAAGACCAGGTACAAGGCTCACTTGGTAGCCTGTGGCCGTGGATAACGGACAAGTGGCTGACAGCTAGGATTGCTCATCTGGAAACTCCATCCTTAATGCTGGTGGGAAAGAAGAATTGATGATAAAACTGTTAATAGTAATATCATGGTAAACCAATTAAACCCAAATAAAATATTAGCATTCAAAGCCAGCTGGAGGAGGGTTGCATTTCTTCCCATCTAGCCAGCCTCTATGTTTACTTGTAGGTAACTGTAAATCCCAATGTGCA